ATTGTAGTAAGAATCGATTGCTTCAAGGTATGATAGATCGGTTCTCCTCAATAAGAAATAATTAAATATTATTATCTTTCATCCAAAATTTTGAAAAATGTTATTTTCGGGGATCTTAAATTAAATTAGACTCGAACTTGTACATTTTATTGCAAAGACAATTAATTAATCGATTAGGTACCGATTTAGGGCGTTGTGGGGGTTCTAATCCTTCCCTACACGTAACCGACTCCCGAACTCAAATTTTGGTAACGCAGACCCCAAGTTTGTCTTTTTAAATAAAATTAATATTTTATTAAAATGTCAAATATATTTTTTGGGTGCCCAATCACATCCTAATCAAAGATTGGTGGTGACTCCCTGAACCACATTTTATCACTAATCGGTCGATCGAAAGTTCATTTTCGAAATGGGACCACCCCTTTTCTCTCCCTGGAAAAAGACCGTTTCGACAGCTTGGGGACTCCGCTGGGGAAGATTTTTAGAGAGTCAGGCAATTAGTCGATTAATGAATTGTCTTTTCAAATAAAATTACAAGTTCGTTCTAATTTAGTTTTTGATCCCTTGTTTGGTTTTAAATAAGTTTTGTTTTTGCATTTTGACTCGTAATTTGCTTAACCACTAAATAGTTATATTGATATGTTTGCTAATGTTTTCAGATTAAATAATTATTCAGGGTTTTGAATTTTTTGTTCACTGGTGTTTGCTTTGTTTCTCTTTTCCTCACACTCTGTACAACTAAATTTATATAACATGAGCTAAAACCCCGCTTCGTCCTATTTAAGTAAGAGTAAGTAACTATTCCCTCTTGTGGTTTTCACCTCCGTGCGGGATAGTGAAACGCTCTTTGGGCTCACGCCTTATGATCCTTGTGAGGTTTTCACCTCCGCAATGACGTAAGGAAGTGTGCCCCCTTGAATTAAACTCGATCCAAAAGCCCGTGATAGGTTAGGATTGAGGGTTCAGTAGCCCAATGGGGCACTGGCAAAGGACAATTTGAGGACCCTTTACTTTAGAACCAAACCCAGTATATAGTAAACGTAGAACCTGGATACGGCCATAACCAGTCCATATGATCCTGTGAGGAGAGTACACAAGGAAAAGCTTATTTGAGCATTCTTTAGTGAAATTTTAAATTTTTGAATAAATGTATGCGAACTAGAAATCATACGGTTAGGTTTAATTTCTTGGATAAGCATGCGAACTAGACGGTATGAGGTTAGGATGTTCTATAAACAAAGCATGTGGGTAGAAATCATGACTGGGTAGGATCTACTAAAGCATGATTGGGTAACTAACATGTGGGGTAGGTTTTATCGATAAATTGAATTATGTTTAATCAGTTCATTTATGATTACTGACCGATTTTCTTTCCTTTTGTTACTTTGTCTTCATCTTGCATTGCACTATTCATCTCATTGGTGTTGATCCATGATTGATGTCTATATAGAAGACTAGTATTATGGAACGAATGATTCAAAAAGAGGTAGAGGATAATGCAGACGTCTTGAGATGGTCCGAGCAGACCCACCTAATAAATGGAGACAGTCTATTACCAGGGTGCGTGTCAGAGCTGAGAGGGTATACTCACATCAACGTTTGTCAGAATGATCTGAATGAGATGAAAAAGATTTGGGGAAGATGGGAAACGTCCGATAAGCAGTTGTTTTATCAACTCTATGTTGACATTTCATACCTCATTGATGTCCCGATTGATCGGAATCTATTTAGAGCTCTGGCTCAGTTTTGGAATCCCGCGTATAGCTATTTTACATTTGGCCGAGTAGACATGACGCCTACTGTAGAGGAGTATCGTGCCTTGATTCGCTGTCTAAGGTTCCAGGTAGACAAAGTATACACCAAACCGCCGAATATTCATTCCTTTAAGAAGAAACTTATTCTGATGACTGACATTAGCGAAGAATGGGTTATGAGAGGCATAAAAAAGAAAGGAGACCGCGAATGCATTACTTGGACCCTTCTAAGAAAATTGATTGACCGTCATCCTGACAGAAGAAAGAAGATTGACTTCTTTGCTCTAGGTATCTACGGATTGGTCATTTTCCCAAGAGTTCTTGGGTATATTGATGTATTAGTGGTTGATATGTTCGAAAGACTGGATAGACATGTGGATCATGTTCCAGCTATCCTGGCAGAAACATTCTGTTCCCTGAGCTATTACCGACGAGAAGGGGAAGGACGCTTCATAGGTTGTGCACCATTATTGCTAACATGGATCCTTAGTCATTTCAAACATATCGAGAGAGCACCTGGTCGGGTTACCAGGTATTTGGGGATCTGTAGGGTATGCCCCGTTACTGGTTTCTCGACAATTTGGGTCAAGGTAGTTTATTCCAGCATCAAGGGAGTTATCCAAGTCTGAGTTTACATTTAGGGGAGAACAATATAAGAATAAAAATAAGGAGGTCACCGATGCTTGGAGACACACATATCGGGTAAATCTCTTTACTTTTGATTTAAGGCTATCTCAAGGGTATGAGGAATGGAGAAGCAACCGAGTTAATGATAATATTTCGATAGGAAATCACGAAAATACCCAGCCTATAAAAGAACACCTCAGGGTGATCCCATCTCTGCTCGAACAAGCCATACTTGATTTTGAGACGGAAATGAAACAATGGAGAGCAACTTTGCAAAAGCTAGAAGATAAAGTGTATCAGAAAGGGCTGGAGATGGACATCCAAAAGAGTTGCTAGCTCAAGTAAGCCTTCTGCTGAATGGAGACAAGAAGTGGTAGGATTGAAAAGAAAAATTGGGGAAAACAACGAAGAACTCAAACACAGCAGACATCAGGCAAAACTACTCTCGAGAGACAAAAATGCCCTTGAACAACAACTGAAAGAGAATTGAACCCAGAATGAGAAGTTGAAGAGTAAAGTCTTGAGCTTAGAGATTGATGTGCGACAATATCGAAGTTGAGAAAGTAGTTTAAACTGTGCTGAAGTGGAAAGATTGACAAAGTGAGTGAGTAAACTCGACGCCTTAGATCAAGATTTGCAAAGAAGAGCAACTGAACTTCCATTGGTCCCTTATGAAGGACTTATACAATGGCGCTATCATTGGGAGCAGGCTCAGTGGAGAGTTAGGCAAAGGGATGATCTCATCGCAATATACCTATAGCAAGCTCAAGGAGTGGCTCAGTACTTGGTTGACCTGTCACAGGAATCTGATAATGTGATCGAAGAACTGGATCCGGAGGCAGAAGAAAACCAGGAGATTGTGGAATTACTGGGACACATCCAAAATTTAGGAGAGATAGCTCAGTTGTATCTGTGATCTGTTTAATCCTTGTAATCGAGCTTCATTTCCTATATAAAAAGTTGTTCTTAGGAATCGTCTCAAAGTCAACATCTTGCATTGCATTCACTTTGCATATACATCACATTTATTTTTACGAATAACATTTTAATCACATTTTTCACCCCCTATTAATAAAACACTAATATTAATAAAAGGATTGTGTGGTAGAATGCTGGACACTTACAAGCATCCATACAACACACGAAAAAAAACAATAGATGACATAATTTCCCAAATAGAGAAGGTTCAAACTGAAATGCAATAGATGGCAAAACTGGTTGGTTTACTATAAGGAAATGGCATAGTCCGAGAAGAGACTCCAGTTATCGGTCCTGCTGCCGATGAACCGTTATATCCCCCTGGCTTCATACCACCGCATGTCCATGCACAACAAACTATGACCGTCCAACCAAGAAAAATACAAGTGAACCTACCTGGCTCTTCTACAAACCCGCAACCAATTGAAGATGTCCCTGATTTGGATGAAGAAGACAAAAAAAAAACATGATAAAGAGATTAAGAAAGAATGAGAGCAAATGAAGCATGAATTCTGAGCTATGAAAGAAGATGCTAGCCTATATGGAATCGATGCCAGAGAGCTAAGTCTGGTCCCTGATTTAGTACTACCATCGAAGTTCAAAGTTCTAGACTTCGAGAAATTTGATGGCACCAGTTTTCCTTCTTCACACATTACCATGTTTCACAGAAAAATGACAGGCTATGTGGAAAATGATCAGCTATTAATTCATTGCTTTCAAGAAAGCCTAACAGGCTCAGCAATCCGTTGGTACAATCAGCTAAGTCGGGCTAAGATTAAATCATGAAAGGATTTGGCTAAGGCTTTCCTAGAGCAATATAAGCACTTAAAAGATGTGAGGCTGAATCGACTTCTGTTACGGAGTATGGAAAAAAGATCCAACGAGAGCTTCAGATAATATGCCCAAAGGTGGAGAGATGTGGCTGTACAAGTTCATCCACCGTTAGAGGAGGAATAAACTAATATGTTTTTTGTGAATACTTTAAGGGCCCCGTTCTTTGGACATCTCATTGGAAATTCATCCAAGAATTTTGCTGATATAGTTAATGCAGGGGAAATGATCTAGCTGGCGATCAAAAGCGGGAAGCTAGAAGGGGGAGAATCTAGCCAAAAACCTCCAGCGAGAAGAAAGGATAATGAAGTCAGTAATGTAAAGAAATATGATTCTAATAACATTACAGTATCCTGACCTCAAGCCACCGCGTTATCTGCACTAAGTCCTGTTAAGCAAGGGATGAAAGAACCAAGACAAGAAAGGGAAATGGTTCAATTTGACCCTATCCCTATAGCCTATAAAGAACTATTCCAGATCCTGTATGACAAACATGTGGTGTCGCCCTACCCCGCTTCTCCAATGTAGCCTCCTTACCCAAAATGGTTTGACATCAATGCTCAATGTGAGTATCATATGGGGGCGTCGGGGCATTCAATTGAAAACTGTCTGGCCTTTAAAAAGTTGGTGCATAAATTAAGAAAAATAAATGTCATCAACTTTGGTGACAGTGAGCAGCCCAATTTAGCTCAGAACCCTCTGTCGAACCATACAGGGACAGGGGTTAATACTGTTATTGAAGAAAGAGTGAACAGATTCATAGCCAAAGTAAATCAAGTGAAGTCACCCATGTATTGGGTATGGGGGCAAATGGTCAAAGCAGGTTGGTTGACCTTTAGTGTTGACGGGAATAAGCACGCTTGCTCCTACCACTGCTGTGAAGATCATGTCATTCAAAATTGTGATAAGTTCAAGGCCTTGGTTCAAAGGTTGATAGATAGTAAAGTTATGGAATTTTACCATGAAGCTACAAAAGAGAAAGAGATGGAGATTTGCGCTTCCGAAGGCACATCCACGGGAGTTTACAATACTAACTGGCCTTTAGTCATCACATCGAAAGCCCAGACTACGGAAAAGTTAATCCCAAAAGTGGTGATCACGCCTCCATCGTCCTTTCCTTATAAGGACAACAAACAGGTCCCTTGGAGGTATGAATGCCAACTAGAAAATTTTGAGAGTTTAAAGACTACTAAGGAAGATGTGGATGAGGTATACCACTTCACCAAAAGTGGGAGATGTAATTTTCCCAACCAGACCAGTGAACCCGAGAAAAGAGCGACCCCTGATAAAGGGAAAAAGGTCGAAATACTGCTGAAAGATGATGAGCCGACAATTAATGAGTCAGTAACCGAGAACGAGGCTATGGAGTTTTTAAAATTTCTGAAGCATAGTGAGTACAGCATCGTCGAACAACTACACAAGTTGCCATCTCGCATCTCGATCCTAGCTCTACTATTAAGCTCTGAGGCACATCAAGATGCCTTGTTAAAAGTATTGAATCAGACTTTCGTACCGAAAGATGTACCAGTGGAAAAGATAGACCGACTGGTTACGAATATTCAGGCGGATAACTTCATCTCTTTCTCTGATGATGAGATCCTGTCCGGAATGATGAGCAATCCCAAAGCCCTGCACATTACTATCATGTGCAAGGGATATGTATTATCACAAGTACTAATCAACAACGACTCTACTCTGAATGTGATGCCATTAGTAACCTTGAAGAAACTGTCGGACGATAGTACACACATGAAAAATTGCCAAATCATCGTTCGAGCTTTCAACAGAATGAAGAATGAGGTGTTGGGGAAGATCGCCATTCCCTTAACCATAGGCCCATCAACCTACGAGGTCGAATTCCTTATAATGGATATAATGCCCTCATATAACTATTTGTTGGGAAGACCTTGGATCCACCAGGCAGGAGCTGTGCCATCCACTCTGCATCAAAAACTCAAATTTGTAATAGAGGGGAGACTTGTATGCCTTAATGTTGAGGAAGACATCATTGCTTCCATATCTACTACCGCTCCATATGTCGAAGTAAATAAATATGCGGTCGAGTGTTCTTTCAGATCCCTGGAATTCGTTAATGCCATCTTTGTTGCTGAGAGAAAGAAAATTCGGAAGCCTAGGCTATCCAATTGTACCAGAATGGGACTGAAAATGACTCTTAAAAGAGGAGCTGAGATCGAAAGAGGGTTAGGGAGTCGCTTACAGGGGAATATTAGTCTAGTTTTTCCCAGTATTAAACGAGATCATTTTGGTATGCGATATCGTCCGACCTTAAAAGAAAAGTTAAAAAATGTTCAAAAGAGTCAGGAAAAGAGGAAAACCAGGTTAGCGGGGGAGGATATTAAGTGGGAGCCCATGATTTTCCCACCGCTACGTGACACCTTCATATCTGGGGGCCACATGTTTCAGGGGGCTAGGTCATCTAAAGAGTATGTTATTGAAAATGCCCTGAGGGATTTGGGTTTAAATATGATATCAGAGGAAGGAATTGAAGACGGAAGGGCTATGGGCATCTACCCCGCACCACCGGGCTTTGTGCTAAACAATTGGAATGCAGAAGAATTACATGTAGTTTACAAAACTATTTCAGAGTAATGACCAAAAAATTTCCCTATTGTCTAAATCCCGGGACAATAGGTGATCCTTTGTAAGGGGTTAATCTATCTGTTTTTTTATTTCCATAAATGATGCATTTCTGTTAATTCACGAAATGGCAAACATCCTCTATTGCATATTTTTTTATTTCTTTATTTATTCATTCTATTTTGATATGGGATAAATTCTCCTGTATTTGTATACGTATATATATCATCTCGTTTATTATTCTTTCAGGACCTCCGGTATCAATAGTATGAATGCTGATGACTCTGACCCGAAGATAGATTTCGAGCTGTCCATATATCAAGGGGAAGTTTGAGGTTATGATAGTGATGAGAGAAACGACTTACCTTCTGAACTACTAAAAATGGTAGAGAGAGAAGACAAACAAATTTTACCTCATGAAGAGCCCATTGAGATTCTGAATATGGGATCAGAGGAAGACTAAAATGAGATAAAAATTGGCACCATCGTATGTGCTGAGGGACGACAAAGTCTGATTGAGATTCTTCGAGAGTACAAAGATGTTTTTGCTTGGTCATATAAGGATATTCCAGGTTTAGACACTGAGTTAGTGGTACATAAGTTACTAATAAAACCCGAATGTAAATCGGTACAACAAAAGCTCAGAATGATGCGATCCGAAATGTTACCTAAAATTAAAGAAGAAGTAAAGAAGCAGTTCGATGCTGGGTTCTTAAAAGTAGCCAAGTATCCAGAATGGGTAGAAAACGTTGTTCCAGTACCAAACAAATATGGGAAAGTCTGCATGTCCGTCGACTACAGAGATCTTAATCGGGCCAGTCCGGAAACTTTCTATTTTCGTTTATGGATGGGTTCTCAAGTTACAATCAAATAAAGATGCATCCAGATGATAAGGAAAAGACTACGTTTGTCACCATGTGGGGTACGTTCTGTTACAAGGTGATGCCGTTTGGGCTAAATAATGCAGGGGAAACTTATCAAAGGGCCATGGTAACACTATTCCATGACATGATGCATAAGGAAATAGAGGTCTATGTCGATGATATGATTGTTAAAGCTAAAACGGAGGAAGAACACATCGAGAATCTGAGAAAACTCTTCCAAAGATTAAGGAAATGCTAATTAAAACTCAATCCAAGCAAGTGTACCTTCGGGGTAACATCGGGAAAACTCTTGGGGTTTGTAGTAAGCAAAAAAGGGAGTAGATCCTGACAAGGTCAAAGCTATTCAGGATTTACCACCCCCACAAACACAGAAAGAAGTTCGAGGATTCCTGAGAAGATTAAACTATATTTTCCAATTTAATTCACAATTAACTGAGAAGTGCAATCTCATTTTTCGCCTTCTTCGTAAAAATAACCCAGGGGTATGGAACGATGATTGTCAAGGAGCTTTTGAAACAATAAAAGGATATTTGTCGAATTCTCCAGTCTTAATGCCACCAATATCAGGCAAACCATTAATCCTCTACTTGTCAATCTTTGAGAATTCAATGGGGTACGAATTAGGGCATCATAACCAAATTGAGAAAAGAGAAAGAGCAATCTACTATCTCAGCAAAAAGTTCACTGATTGTGAGGCAAATTACTCACCAATAGAAAAGTTGTGTTATGCTTTAGTTTGGACAACCCGAAGGCTCAGGCAGTATATATTGTATCACACTACTTGGCTGATATCTAAACTTGATCCTCTGAAATATCTAATGGGTGTACCTGCTTTATCTGGAAGATTGGCTCATTGGCAAATCTTATTGTCTAAATTTGACATCTAATATGTAATCCAAAAAGAAGTTAAAAGAAGTGTTGTGGCCGATTTCATTGCAAGTAGGGCTTCTGAAGAGTACGAACCACTGAACTTTGATTTTCCAGACGAAGATTTAATGGTTGTTTCAACTGAGGAGGTAGTTTTGCTCTACTACTAATGAACAATGGAAGATGAATTTCGATGGTGCCTTGAATGCCTTGGGGCATGGGATTGGGGCAATTCTCATCTCACTTGATGGAAAACACTATCCTTTCACCAGTCGATTGAATTTTGATTGCACAAATAACATGGATGAGTATGAAGCATGTATTCTGGGTCTTAGAGCTGCCATTGAGCGTAAAGTGAAAACACTCAAAGTATACAAGGATTCAACCCTGATATTTTATCAACTCAAAGGTGAATGAGAAAAAAATGATACGTAGTTTGTGGAAGACCATAAGTTGGTCCCAGAGCTCATTAAAGAATTTGAGAGAGTGACATTCTATTACCTCCATAGAGAAGAGAATCAAATGGTGGATTCTCTGGCCACTTTGGCAGCAGCCTTCAAAGTCAATGAATATTCAAGCATGATGCCTATTACGATGCAAGCTTATGGGTATCCAGCCCATTGCTATAGCATAGAAGAGGAAAATGATGGAAACCTCTGGTATTACGACATCCTGCAGCACATTAAATATCAAAGCTACCCTGAGCATGCCACTGAGAATGACAAAAGAACTATTCGTAGAATGGCGGCAGGATATGTACTTGATGGTGATATCTTGTACAAGAAGAGTCATAATCAGGTCTTGTTGCGATGTGTAGATACTAAAGAAGCCAGAATGATCATTGAAGAAGTGCATGAAGGAGTATGCGGTACCCATGCTAATGGACATGTAATGGCTAAACAAATAATGAGATTTGGATATTATTGGTCAACCCTAGAAACCGATTGTATCAATTTCTCCAGAAAATGTCAGATTTATGGAGACAAGCTCCACACCCCTCATCATCCATTGCACGTAATGACTACTCTGTGGCCATTCTCTATATGGGCCATGGATATCATTGGGCAAATTTCACCCAAAGCTTCTAATGGCCTTCGTTTCATATTCGTGGCAATAGACTACTTCACTAAGTGGGTAGAAGCGGGCTCCTATGCAAATGTCACTCAGTCAACAGTTTGCAAGTTCCTGAAGAGAGAAATCATTTGTCGGTATGGGCTACCAGAAAGGATCATCACCGACAATGCCTTGAATTTAAACAATAAGATGATGGAGTCAGTATGTAAACAGTTCCAGATTAAACATCATAATTCCACCACTTATCGCCCAAAGATAAATGGAGCGGTAGAGGCAGCTAATAAGAACATCAAGAGGCTCATACAAAAAATGACTGAGACTTATGAGACTGGCATGAAAAGCTACCATTCACTTTGTTTGCCTATCGAACTTCAGTAAGGACGTCCACTGGGGCAACTCTGTTTTATTTAGCCTATGGGATGGAGGCTATGTTACCCATCGAGGTTGAGATTCCGTCACTACGGGTGCTGTCAGAGGTTAAGCTAGATGAAGCAGAATGGATGCAAGCTAGGTATGACCAGTTGAATCTGATTGAGGAAAAAAGATTAAAAGCTATCAGCCACGGAAAAATGTACCAGAAACGTATGATAAGGACATATAAAAAGAAGGTTCACATACGAGAGTTTCAGGAGGGAGACCTGGTGTTGAGGAAGATTTTGTCAATTCAAAAAGACTTTCGGGGAAAATGTATGCCAAATTGGGAAAGACTTTATGTGGTAAAGAAGACCTTTTCTGGAGGGGCTTTGATACTCACTGAGATGGATGGACCTTAGTTACCTAACCCTGTGAATGCTGACGCAGTCAAGAAGTACTTCACATGAAAATACATAATAAAAGGATTCAAGATGAAAACCCGTAAAGGGCATCTTGAAACCAGAGAAGGTCTCAGGTTGAAAACCCGTAAAGGGCAGCTTGAGAATTGTGTAAATTCAGAATTCGTGCATGACGGAGATTCTGAATTAGTTTTGAAGGCTTGAAATGGTAGTCATGGGTTAGGGTTGGAAATCGAAAAGCTTGGGTAACCAGAAAATAAATAAGATTCAAACACTCGCTTATGGTGTCCAACAGTTGGGAATTTGGCAGTACAGGGGAACCTCGCACCCTTACACATTACCATAATCCTCAAGATCCTCTTGACAAAATCTACACTTGGGTCCTCTTACGGCGTGCAAGTTCAAAAGCATTTGTACTATTGATATATGATAACGCCTATTGTATTTTCTTTTGATTATTCCAGTTAAAAGTTTGCCATGTATTCACCCAAAAACTCTTTATTTATAAATAAAAAGATATTTTTAACCACGTTGCAAGCATCCCGATTAAAAATAAAAAACATGTAGATTAGCTCAGGAAACATGAGAGCATTGTGCATTATTGTACAAAATTTTTGGGAAATGTAGGTATTCCGAAGATGAAAATGGTTTTAGCATAAGGCTTACACAATGTCAGGCCACAAAAAGTTAAAACCCTGGGATACACGCGAATGCTCAATAATGTGAGATAACCCAGGGGGTTTTGTCACTGATCAAATAGCGGGTCATGAAAAGCACATGGGTTCAAAGAGAATCAGAGTCAGGCTCAACGAAAGAATGTCCAACCAAGGTTGTTGACTGAGATGAATTGTTGTTGATGCTTTTGTGCTCAAATTAGACTGAAGTACAAGGCCGTTAACAAAAGAAAATTCCTATTTGAAAAGAAAATACCCTCAAAATAAATGCATCATTGCACACATTTTAGGCATAAACAAGATCATGTCATAAAATGCATAATAATTAAGTGCTTGTAGATTCTCTTAAAAGAAAGGACAAAGATATAAAGACCAAACATAAAAATAACCAATTCAGATTTCCATATTTGGTCGTGGCAAGACAAGCTTCCGCAAGAGAAATCTCTTCAAAAAACTATCATCTCGAGACTTTCAGATATGATGCTTTCGAGTCCTCAAACACATACTAACAAAGGTTAATGTTTAATTTTCAAGTTTGATCTCAATTCAATGGATCAACTCCCCCAGATCTGATATTCCCTTCAGAGTAACAGGACAAGTTTCTCTTTTCCAAGATTTGATATTCCCTAAGTGACCGCGGAACAAGTCTATTGTAACACCCCTAACTCATATTCGACCTAAATACAAGTCCGAGATGTCACATTGGCTTTTCAAACTTTGATTCTTAAAGAAAAATCCCG